GGAGGTGAAGGCGGCTCTGCGGATACTGGGAGGCGGCCAGAGAACTGCAGGCTGACGTGCGTCTGCAGGAGCGGATTGCGAGTCTGTTTGCAAACCCACCTAGGAACCTGTTGGCATGGCCCCTCGGTGGCTTTTGTGACTCTCTCTCTCTCCAGCCATCACAAGGAAGCCCCACGTGTCTGTCCGGAGTGCGACTCATCACAGAAATGCTACCAGCAATCGCTGGCTGTCCTTGCCATGCCGTCTGGCCGGCGTATTTGACGCTGTCCCAGGGAAAAGCACGCTTAGGCTGCCGCTTAGTTCATCGGCATGTACGAGAAACCTTGGCAAAGTCTCTGAAAATAGCAGCTGTGTAACGCGGACCTACAGCGCTCTGCCTCTCTAACCATCATGAGACTTCCTGCTCCAGGCCTGGGTGCAGCATTCCACCCGGGGTCACACCAGGGCCAAACAGGAGAAATCACCTCGCTCCTACTGGAGACTCCTCCTCTACATGTCCCTCAGTGACCATGGCTCTTCTGGGCTCAACGTCATAGTGGGAGCTCACGTTCAGCCAAGTCTCTACTGGGATCTCCTGTCCTTTCCACCTTCCTGCTCCTGAGCCTGGAGTGCCCCGTCCTGCCAGCACAGCCTCCGCTCCTTGTTCCTGCTGCACATACTGATCCAAATGCCCACGGTCAGCTTGTGCCTCACGTCCCCCTGGGGGAGGCGGAGGAGCTGTTCCAGGGCTCGGTGTCCCAGGGCGAGGGAGAAGGATGCTGGTGTTAACAAAGGTTGGTGTGAGGGAAAAGGTCACAGGAGTTCTGCTCAGATTGCGGTAGGGCAGGTGGGTGACGCTGCGGTGCAGCTGACACGCACAGTCAGTAGAGTTACCTGGGCTGTGAGGGAGGCAGGAGGGGAGTCGGTTCACGCCAGGGGTTATGAGGGCAAGGCAGGAAATTAGGTGAATGACGGAATCTCTTTGGGGCTCTGTTCCGCACCGGAGTCTCTACAGTAACAATTATTCCTGTCTCCCGCCCGTTGCTCTGGGAGCTCTTTGGGGCAGGGGCTGTCTCTAGCCACGTGGGCGCAGCCCCCATTGCACCTGGGTCTCCTGGCTGGCATTGAAAAAGGTTGAGAGAAGGGTTTGGAAGTAGTGCTATGGGAAGAGAGATGAAAAAGACGTGGACTTTTCAGCTTAAAAAAGAGGAGACTAAGGGGCGATAGGATTGAGAGCTATAAAATCATGACTTGTGTGGACAAAGTGAATAAGGAAACGTTATTTTTGTGTTCCCACAATACAAGAACTAGGGGTCACCCAATTAAATTAATAGGGAGGAGGTTTATAACAAACTAAAGGAAGTTTTTCTTCACCCAGCGCACGATCTGTGGAATTCCTTTTGCCAGAGGATGTTGTGAAGTCCAGGACTTGAACAGGGTTCAAAGAAGAATTAGATACATTCACGGAGGTTAGGTCCATCAATGGCTATTAGCCAGGATGGGTAGGTCTGGTGTCCCCAGCCTCTGTTTGTCTGGAAATGGGTGACAGGAGATGGATCACGTGAGGTTTCCCTGTTGTGTTCCCTCCCTCTGGGGCACCTGGCATTGGCCACTGTTGGCCACTGGGCTAGATGGACCTTTGGTCTGACCCAGTCTGGCTGTTCTCATGTTTATAAGTGCATGTGAACTCAATACTGGGGACAAGACAAAATTCATTCTGCTGATGGGTGGAAAATCTTAAAGGGATATTGGAGTCTAAGTGCCGTGTGCCGGAGGGCAGGGAGAGGGAGACTTTGCGCTTCCCCTGCCCCGAGGCCAAGCAGGGTCTGGGGGTGGAGGGAACCACACCCAATCTCTTCCTGCCCTGTAGGGGACTTGGCCCTTAGAGTCAACAGCCAGCAGCTGCTCAGCTGGTGGGTGGCTAAGTGCGGCGCCCCCTTGCAGGCCAGGGGCAGACTTACATAAGAACGGCCAGACGGGGTCAGACCAGTGGTCCATCTGGCTCAGTGTCCTGTCTGCCAACAGTGGCCAATGCCAGGTGCCCCAGAGGGAGGGGACATAACAGGGAATCCCCACGTGATCCTCCCCTGTCACCCACCTCCAGAGAAACAGAGGCCAGGGACACCATTCCCTCCCATCCTGGCTAATTGATGGACCCAACCTCCTTATTGACCTGGGAGAAGTGGGAGGGGAGCACACAAAGTCTCCTCCCACCACCAGGGGTGCTGGCGCTTAGAGGGAACCGCCAGATCTTCAGAACAACGGGTGGTTCTCTCGGGGATGGGGGGATGTTAAAGACTTCACCTGCTTCCCCCACCCATAGACCAATCAGTGATCTGGCTGCGCCCCTCTGAACTGCGGCCCTGCCCCTTCCAGGTTGGCCCAGGGCCAATTCAAAAGTCTCTGAAGCGGCTTCACTCAAAAATTATTGCCCACCCCTAGTCTAGCCCATCCCTGAGAGGTCCAACCTGCCTTCAACATTTCCAGTCCTGGAGATTCCACAATGTTCCTAGGCTTAACAACCCGGACAGGCAGGAGTTTCTTCCCAATGCCCAACCTAAACCTTCCTTGCTGCAGTTTAAGCCCATTGCTCCTTGTCCTGTTCTCAGAGGCCGAGGAGAACAATTTGTCTCCCTCCTTCTTGTGACACCCTTTTATGTACCTGAAAACCACTGTCATGTCCCCCCTCAGTCTGCTCTTATTTAAACTAAACAAACCCAGTTCCTCAGTCTTCCCCCATTGCTCTTGTTCTCTAGACCTCTCATTTGTGTTGCTCTTCTCTGGAATTTTTCCATTTTCTCCACATCTTTGCTGAACGGTGGAGCTGAGCGCTGTGGTCAGGGAAGCGAGAGCAGAATCCGGACCCCGGTGGCACTGGGAATTGGGCCCTTCCCACTCCAGGGCACTGCCCTTATCTCCCCGTCTTGGGGCTGGGCCCCAGGGGTCTCTGAGCGTCTCCGAAGTGAAACCAAATCTCCATTAATTGGCGTCTTAGCCAAGGGCTCCGCCGGGAGCCTGGTGGGGATTCAGGGCTGGTCCCCAGGGGCCCAGAGGAGATTTAAGGGCCAGGCAGAGCCAGGAGGCTGCAGGACGTGGTGGGGAAGCTGTTGGCTGTGCAGCAGTGCAGGGTGAGACATGGGGGAGCCCTGGTCAGCTTGGCAGAGCATCAGAGCTCCCAGGTGGGTACCAGGCACCCTGGCCAGGCCTGTCTCGTGGGTGCAGGGCCAGGCTGGGTACAGACACTGGATGGGGCCGTGGGAGTCCCGGCCAGGACAGAAGGGAAGAATCCCAGCCAGCTGGAGCCTCCTCTGCCCATGCAGCCAGTGTAAGGCGCCTGCTTTGGTACCGACCTTCTTGCCCTGCCCCCGTCTCTGCCTGTCTCTGGCCTGGCCCTGCCACCCCCAGGGTCTGTCAGCCTGGTGTGTTCTGTAGAGAGCCACCGACCCGCCGTCCAGCCCCGTCTGTGCAGCGCCTGCCTGGCCCTGGGCTGGGTC